AGGTATCCGGCTGGGGCTGTCAGGAGTTGTTACCGCTGGTGCGGCTCCGCGCGGCTCCAGTCCCGCGTTGCCTCGGGAAGGAAAAGGCAAAACCAGGAGCCGCTGCTGCCATTGCAAAGCGCCGCCGCGGTTCTTCCTTTTTGCCTTTCCCTTCCCGAGGCAACGCGGGACTGGAGCCGTGCGGAGCCGCGCCAGCGGTAACAACTCCTGACAGCCCCAGCCGGATACCTCAGCGGAGCCCGGGCGGTGCGAGCCTCATTTCCTTGGGAGCTGGGAGAAGGCTGGCTGCTCCTTTCGGCTTCACGGGATTTGTTTCCACGGTAGACAAAAGTGCCTCAAAAAAAAAAAAGTGCAAAAGTGGAAGGCGTGCGGAAGAGGGGGCGAGTATATAACAAACTATATTTTGAGTGGAAATGTTGTGGGGTCGTCTTATACGCCGGGTCGTCTTATACGCCGGCATATACGGTACTCTCTCTGCTCCTGTTCAACATTTATATGAAACGGCTGGGTGAGATCATCTGTCACCATGGACTTAGATATCACCAATATGCTGATGATACTCAGCTGTATGCATCAGCCCGTGGTGAGTTAAGTGTTGCTGTGTCCTCTCCCTCTTGCCTGGAGGCTGTTAGGGGCTGGATGGGGAGCAACAGGTTGAAACTAAACCCTTGCAAGACAGAGTGGCTCTGGGTTTGGGGTTTGTTGGTTCAGGGAGAATTACCACCTTTAGTCTGGATGGGGTGGCACTACCCCAAACAGATCCTGTGCATAATCTAGGGTTTTTTCTGGACTCACGACTCCTGTTTGAAGAGCAGGTGGCGGTCGTGGCCAGGAGGGCCTTTGCACAAATGCAGGTTGTGCACCGGTTACGCCCTTTCCTGGATCAGCGGTCCTTACTCACAGTCACTCATGCCCTGGTCACTTCCCATCTTGATTATTGCAACACGCTCTACATGGGACTGTCCTTGAAGAGCATCTGGAAGCTCCAGTTGGTGCAAAATGCAGCGGCCCGCATGGTTTTATGCAGACCCCAGTGTGCACATGTATCACCTCTCCTGCAGGAGCTGCATTGGTTGCCAGTTTGCTTCCAGGTGCAATTCAAGTGCTGGTTGTCACCTTTAAAGCCCTTCATGGCTTGGTCCGGGTTATCTGAGGAAACATCTCTTGCCAGTTACATCTACCCGACCCATTAGAATGAGGAGGCAGGGAATGCTGCGGGTCCCACCCCTGAGGGAGATACACCTGGTGGAATCTAGAAGAAGGGCCTTCCCTGTGATGGCTCCGTCTCTCTGGAACATCATTCCCCCAGAGATTAGAATGGCCCCCTCATTAATACTATTCTGAAAGGCACTGAAGACCTGGTTTTGCCAGCGGACCTGGGGAACCCAGAGAGGGATGGAACCCATCAAATGGCTAGTGTGATCCTCTGTGGTTGGAGTGGGGGTTGGGAGTTGGGTTTTTTGTTTTGTTTTTTGTTTTCCCAAATTTTGTTCTATTGTACTTTACTAATTTATTTGATTCTTTTTGTTAGTTCTTATTGTTGTTGTTTTTTAAATAGGATTTTACATTGTGTAAGCCGCCTTGAGTCACCATGGGAGAATAGGCGGCAATATAAATCAAATAAATAAATAAATAAATACACTGTGCCGTGGGAATCAGCTGAGGTGAAAAACACAGAAATATAGGACGATAGCTCAGGGGTAGGTGGTGGGGGCCAGCTGATTGCCAGAACTACCGGTTCACTCAGTGGTGGGATGCTGCTGGTGTAACAACTGGTTCCCTGCGTGCACACGTACAACTTTTGAAATTACTTACCATCAATGTTACTTTGGGGAGGTAACAGCTGAGGCGCGGCAATCCACTGTGCCACACAAATCAGCTGAGCAGATATAGGTGAGTGTAGTGCAGGGGTGGGGGGGTGGGCCCACATGATTGTCGGAGCGAACCGGTTCAGACCCAGCTGATCTTCGGAGCTAGGGGTTCACCTGAACTGTGAGAATCCCACCCCTGGGTTTGCTAGAACCAGTGCGAACCAGCAGGAGCCCACCCCTGATCTGTGGGTACAAGATAACAAGCTTCATGGGGGAAATAGGAAAATCTAGCCACTAACCTTTCCTAAGCCAAAACTATATAAACATAATAAGCATGAAAGAGAAATAATTTTTTAAAAGGGCCAAAATATATATTTCCTGAAGAAAAAGATAATGACATGCATAATTATAAAAGTAAGTAAATAACATGAATTTAAACATAAACACCTAGCATCCATGATTTTATAAAAGATCAAATAGTTCTCCTGGTGTTTAATCACATAGACCAGGTTAGGACAAGGCAAAGAAAATTATCTCTATATCCTTATCATAGATTAATCACTATTAGGGGGGAAATTGAGTCATTATTGCATGCTGTCTTTTGCAGATCAGGGATCAAATTAGGCTGAGGGGATGATGGTTCTGTTTAGATTTTGAAAAGCTGTGGAGAAACTCTTTGAAACTTACCTGACTTTCTAACAGCTCTGGTTTGTGAAGTAGAACAGCTAAATTTGGGAACTGGTAATGGTGGTTCTGCCTGACCCCATTCCAGGCTGCTTGCTGGAATCTGTTGAAATATTAAACAGTATAAAATAGTATAGCAAGTGGGCAGATGATTTAAGTAACTGTGGTTTAAATCTAGGATCCAATCAGGATTTGTTGAAGGCAATCAGGATTTGTTGAAGGTAACAAAGAAGAGCAACACAGATTATTAGGGGATTGGAGGCTAAAACATATGAAGAACAGTTGCAGGAATTGGGTCAGTTGTGTTATGCTGTCGGTTCGGCCTGGTTCTGCAGAGCCGCTAGGGGGATGAGCAGTGGAGACTGAAACTGGTTCTCTCCGCCGCTCTGCTGTTGGGCCTACCCGCCCGCCCGGGTTCCCATACTCACCTTTATCTTCTGCTTTTGAAGCGCAGCTGCTTTGCGCGGCACAGAAGAGTGCTGTGTGGCTGCTGCTGAAGTGACTGGGAGAGTGCAGGCTTGCAGGAGGTGAGTTGGAATGCCTCTGCACCTGCGCAAATGCCTCTGTGCCTGCGCAAAGTGTATGTTTGGCACGCTTGCATGCAAAGTGTGTGCATGCGCGCAAAGCGCACCCACCAAGCCACACCCACCGAATCAGTAGTAAAAGTTTTTGAATCCCATTACTGAATTGGGTACGTCTAGTTTAATGAAAAGAAGGACTAGGGGTGACAGGTTAGCAGTGTTCCAGTATCTAGGGGCTGCCACAAAGAAGACGGTATCAATCTATTCTCCAAAGCATCTGAAGGCAGGACAAGAAGCAGTGGATGGAAACTAATCAAGGAGAGAAGCAACCTAGAACTAAGGAGAATTTTCATGACAGTTAAAACAATTAATGGCACAACTTGCTCCAACACTGGAGGTTTTTAAGGAGAGATTAGGCAACCATTTGTTTGAAATGGTAGAGGGTTTCAGCGGGTTGGTCCTTTCCAACTCTGTTACTCTGTTAACTTATGCTATGGTGATCTAGGAGGCAAAGAAATGTGTTTACTACCTGATTGTGGCAACACAGACCTGGTCTATGGGCTGTTGTGCAAATGATTTGGTCTTTCATGATATCTTTCATGCTGGTACTGTGGTATAATGTTTTGAGGAACATGTTGAAAAGTGTTCTGAAAGGCTTGATATCACTATACTTACAGTGCCAATGTGCCCTACATAATAACATTTGAACTTGAGTGCTTATCTCTTGAGGAAGTGAATAAATTAAATTGAAAAAGGAACTCTATTCCAGTTGATTCTTTTAGTTCTGTCTAATTAGATCTATGTACTAAAAGAAACTATTATAAGACAATAAACTTACTGAGGATCCTGGTTCAATAGCATCTGTGAAATTCTTATTTCGGTCCATTATTAATTGTAAAAAAGATAGTAGGTATATTTTTGAAAGTCTTTTGTCATATACTATATAGCAGGGATCTCCAACCTTGCCAACTTTAAGACTTGTGGACTTCAACTCCCAGAATTCCTAGCCTTTTCTTATGTTTATGGTTTCTGTTTTTTGCCTTTGTGAGTATTTTGCTAATATTTTTAACATTTGTTTAATGAAATTCAGATTCTTCACAGGAAATGCTTACAGCTGGTTGACTTTTAACAATGATGCACTACTTCCCTTGAGGGGCCCACTACATTTTTAGTGTGTGTTGAAGGCCACACAGACCATAAATGAAATATAGATATAGCATACATGCGTACACCTGGGGTATGCCTCTAGCTACATAATAACCCCTAAGTGCAAGCCTCATGTGTCCCAAACAAAGAGAAGGCGCATACTCTAGTAAGTGCTGAGCAAGAGAACAAGATTGTTCCTTCATCAGCCTGTTGAATTTGTTGATGAAGTAGTTTTGGGCCATGCCACAGAGAGAAGGCCTTGCATCTTGTACCATTTTTCTAAAGTACTGTATAGTGCCATTGTTTCATCTTTGTCACTGCGAACTCTCTTGTGCTCACACTGGCAGAATCATAATAAAAAGTGCAGCATAAAATCAGTTTTTTAAAAATGTATTCTGGATATTGCTGTACATGCTATTTTTGTGGTTTCACAAAATCAATAGCACAATATTCTTGCCACACAGATTCATTAGAAAGGAGTTGGTGTTCCTTATTTTAAATATTTTTCAACAGATCTTCAATTTTTTTTATTATCCTAGTGATTTTTTATATCAGAAAAAGGGAGTAAGTTAGAATTCTTTCATAGGTATAAAACAATGTGTGTGTTTATATGTATACATATATGCATATACATGTGTATGTGTGTTCAAATGCATTTTCAATTATAGTAAAACTTCGTTGAAACAAATTGGTGAACTTCAGTATCAGTTGTATAAAGGGAAATTATAAGCTGAATTGTAGTGAACTTAATGTTTTATAACAATATTGCAATTCAGTATCGTATCAAGAATATATAATATGGCTTTATTATTCCATCCCCACCCTACACGTATTTTAGGTCCAACTGTGCTGAAAATATCCGCAAGCATATCCTGCACACAGATAAACATGAAGGCGTAAAGATGTACAACTGCCCCAAATGTGAATATGGAACCAACATCCCAGTGGAATTTCGCAATCACTTGAAAGAACTACATCCTGACATTGAGAACCCCGACTTAGCTTACCTGCATGCTGGTAAGGACATCTTTATACTCATTTGGAGGCACTTACATGATTGTGAAACCAAGTTCTTTTAAAGCAAAAGAAGGCAGTTTTAAACTCAGTCCAGGTATTTTCAGTATCTTTCATACTTCTGTCCAACTTTCAGTAGTTTTATTTGTGTGTGTTTGCAAGGCTTAATTTTATCTAGGATTTTCCCCAAAATGTGGTGGCCATGGCCAAATCTAAGCAAAATGCTGAACCAAGTATTACACATGACACCTAAGGCTAGATATTTGGTGTAATTTTCTTTCTGAAGTAGCAAACACTTTGGGATTTCAGCTTCCACCTTCCCTGCTTTGACTAGAACTACATGGGAGTTCCATACCTGGAGGACTATACAAGCAGCCCCTGAAGATGCCAGAAAACAAGGAGGCGTCCAAATGAATTCTGCCTCCTCCCTTCATCCACAAAGTTTATCTTTATTTTCCTTAGATAACTTGTGTTAGAGAGGGAGGAGGGGAGGGGGAGAGAGTGAGGTATAGAATCAGGTATATAATATTTTGAGAAAACTGTTTAAAATGTTCAAGATGAATTTTTAAACTGCAATTTTTCTTCTGTATAGAAAACAGTTATATTATTCAGAATAATTGGTAGTCAATGATACCAAGATGGTGCATGTAAACCCTTCACTATGTGAGTTGCATTGGATGATCATTTGCTTTTTAGTCTATTTCAAAGGGCTGGTTATAGCATGGGGTTGGGTTACCATCTTACCCCCATTATATTAATCTGCCCCACCCAGTAAAAAAGAGAAAGTATATTTCAGATCCCATCGTTTAAAGAATTTTGGCTGGCAGAGTCCAGGAAGAGAGCCTTCTCTGCCATAGTTTCCATCCTCTGGAATACTGTCCCTCCAGAAATTAGGTGGGCCTCCACTCTCCTGGCCCTTTGGAAGGCTTTGGAGGCCTAGCTCTGCTAACTCTCATGGGGCACACAATGTGGCATGCAACCCCGGGGGTGGGTAGTACCGTGAAGGTGCTCCCCCCCCATCTTTTAACTTTTAATTTATACTCTTTGTCTTTGTTTGGCTTTCTTTTTACTAGTGTACCACATTTTTACATGCTTTTTATGCTTTAGCTCTAAACTGCTGAGTCACTCGGAGAGTGAATGCGCAGTATCTACATTAGATAGACAGATGATAGATGGATGGATGGATGGATGGATAGATAGAATTGTTCAATATTTTATGTATTTGATAGACTGCTACCATATGACCAGACTACTATATCTAATTGCATGGTTATTTTCTGAACTATTTTATTATCTCCTTTTAGAATAAAATTAATATAGTTTCATTCAAAATAAAATACAAGATAAATTTAGATTAAACTACACTTTGTTGGCAACCCTTCCACATGGCTCTTGGCTTCTGGGATCTAAAATTCATGGTTAGGTAAATCTGTTAATCTAATCATCACTTGAGTAAGTCAGGATTTTATCATTTCTAGTTTATTCTGAGTTAAAGCCATATCTTCATCCCAATTCTGGCTAACATATTCTTCTTAGCAAACCAATAAATTTGAAGAAACAATTTACTGAGTAGACCTTACTAAGATCACAGCTAATTTTAACCATATCTAAGTACTGTATGTCTTCTTTGCCTGCATAAGTCTCCAAAGGCAAGGTAGTCTATGATTACATCATCAAGATGGGACAAACAGTGATCCTATCAGTTGCGAACAGCTGCAATATTCATGAGTAGAATCCTGAAAGTTCAAGTAGTTAACTCTAAATAAAATTGTGATCTTTATCCTTCTTGACAGAAGCATTCATCAAATTATTAAGGGGCATGGGAAATGATTGCTAAAAGTTATTCTGTGATCTATTATGTGATTCTTATCAGAGTTCGACAGTGTTACCAAGTAGATTGAAGCTCTTGAATTTCAAGTGAAGATATAAAATTACATAACTTTAATAATTTATATTTTCCCCCTAAAATCATTTCTATTCCTACTAGCATTTGATACATGAAAATAATTATAAAGTTTTCTATCAAATTTCAATCTTTTCTGATAGTAATTTCACTGACAATTTTAAATTCAACATAAATTGCTAGATACCATGAACAATGATTTTCATTTATTTTTAACAGAAAACTGACAACTTAAAAATAATTAAGGAGCTTGTCATTGTTAGGGCTGATATTTGAAAGTTACATCTTGCTAAATTAATAGAACTCTAAAGTTACTTGAACTCTATAAAACTACCATAGTATTTATTTTAAATGCTGGCATGGATTATATAAAGAAAATAGGAAGCAGTTTGGCTTCGAACAGATTCATTGTGGTAATAACCATTAGTATCAGTCTTTCAAGGGCATGTCAGTATGATTGTCAGAAGTCTTTTTCCTCTCATATGCATAATAGAAGGGACGTGGTGGCTCAGTGGCTAAGACGCTGAGCTTGTCGATCAGAAAGGTTGGCAGTTCAGCAGTTCGAATCCATAGACCACATAACGGAGTGAGCTCCCATTACTTGTCCCAGCTTCTGCCAACCTAGCAGTTCAAAAGCATGTAAAAATGCAAGTAGAAAAATAGGGACCACTTTGGTGGGAAGGTAACAATGTTCCATGTGCCTTCGGTGTTTAGTCATGCCAGCCACATGACCATGGAAACGTCTTTGGACAGCCCTTCAGACAGGCTCTTCAACTTTGTAACAGAAATGAACACCGCCCTCTAGATCGGAAAATGACTAGCACATATGTGTGAGGGGAACCTTTACCTTATGCATAATAGTAGTTTTATTATGTGCTTGAAATAAAAACCTTACATACAGTAAATGTTTTCTAACTCTAAAGAAGGTTGCTAGCATGTAATCTCTATAGATTACTTTACCCATGTGTTCCCCATAAATTAAGGAGAAAAAAAATCTAATTATTTTCATCTTCATGTAAGAATCTCTTTTATGTAGGCATTTCTGGTTTTGCACCTGGCAATTATATACCTGAGTTAGCCACCTGCAATATTCAACTTTTTAGCTAGAATATAGGGAGAAATTAATATAGGCATCCCATCACAGTATATTGCTTGGAATTTTGTTGACAGTCAAATAGCATATCAAGATTGAATTAGTTACTCCAACAGGCTTATTTATCATAGATATATAATTGAGAGAAGGGCACTGTGTAGGTGAAAGCTGGAAACAGCAAATATCTCAGTATGGCTTTGTGGGGTGTGGCTACTTCGTTTGGTGGAGGAGGTGAATGGCTGGAGTAACATAAATGCTTTCATAAAAAAATAATTTGTAATTGCAGTGCAGTGTTCAGTATAATGTGGTAAGTGTGTAGCTACCGAAATCCATCACTAGAATATATGGACTTATGCAGATAGACTGCTGCCTATTTATGCCTGCCACATTGGATTATAATAACATATATTACCATGTCTATAACCCACAAAATATCAGTAACCACATATCTAGCTGATGGTGTGACTGCTGCTCTAAGTGCACACTCTAAGAAATGAACTCAGTCAACCTTGTTTGTTAGTATGCATGCAATATCATTAAATCTGTTGCAAACCATTGAGAGATTTTAACAGCCTGTGGTATAAATTTTATAAACAAATAATAAAATTAACCGCTTTCTCCTTCCAACAAAAAATGCATGCAATAACTATACTACTCATTTCAGATATAGCCTAAATGGATATTGTTCAACTAAAAAGATTTCTGGCTATAGCAGGACCAAGAAAGCAGAAGTTTCGTGGGTCCCGAATATCTATTTTGTAGTCCTGGAATTCAAAGTTGCCAAAATAGATAGTAAGATTTTCTGCCATCAGAGGTGGGGAATACATTAAAAATAACAGTATGTGGTTAAGAGCTGTGACCAATCAGTCAATTTAAAAAATAAAAAACATGTATTCTTAACCATTAAAATAGAAATTAGAAAATTCTAACCCAGCCCACATTGGGGCAACTTCAACCTGCCTATTTTGCACGTCAACCTACTTTAAAATATCCAGAGCAACCTCAGCTCATCAACAGTTTTCTACCTTGAGTATAAGTCTTGTCTCTCTACCAGTGATGGGCTGCTGCCGGTTCGGACCAGTTCAGGAGAACCGGTAGTTCTAATGATCAGCTGGCCCTGCCCACCTGTGCCTGCCCTATCCTGTCCTTTATTTCCTGCTTTCTAGCTCATCTCAATCTTGCAGCACAGCTGATTTTCACCCCCTTGCTGTTCTACTTACCGTTGCTGACTTGGAAGGTAAGCAGCTGAACTTCTAAATGCTCCATTTTCAATGCAAGTGGCTTAGGCATGCACGCACACACCAAACTGGTTGTTAAACCAGTTGCAGCCCATCTTTGCTCTCTACTATGATCCAAAAGTTTGAATTAAGAAGTGTGTGTATGTGTCTGTGTGTATATGAGAGAGAGGGAGAGAGAAGGAGAAGGAGGTATGTAAGTAAGAAGGGACTGCTACAATACACTGTGTATGCATTGGCTCTAATCTTCATTCTGCAATGATGTATTGTCTGAGAGAGAGAGGAAGAGAGTCTAGACTAGACTAGACTAGGCAGATCCTACTGGAACCCATTTTGTAGGAAAACCTGTCAGTATGGAACTTATTTCTGTAATTAAAATGGCCTCTGAAATGGTCATTTAAGAGAAGAAGTTGACATTCATTGTTAAAATTAAGGTATATGACATTTATGGAAGCCTTATTTGTTGCTGATTTTCCCGTAAAAGATTTTGAGATTAAATGATGTCTCTTGTAAATTTTCCTCATTATGAACTATTGAGAGTTTACAGTAAGCTTATAACATGTTCATTAAGCTTAAACTCTTATTCAAAATAACAAAATAAAAATGTATAAAACATACGTATGCATATATTTGGGGCACTAATAATAACACTGAATAGGGAAATTAGTATAATCCAATACCAACATCAACACCAAACCTTTAACAATACAAATAATGTATCTCAGTTTTTTTGTATGTCAGTTGATGGAATTAATTCTCCCTCCCATTGCAA